TTTTTGGTACAAATATCAGAACAATACCTTTTTCAATACCTTCACAACAAATGTATTTGTGTGTGTGTGTGTGTTTATTTACAAGAACGTGGTCTAGATAAAACCTAAACTGGCATAATAATTAATTCAATAAGAAACCATGTGATCAGAAAATCAGTCAGTAAAATTATAAATCTGTCCGCTTTCTGGTAATTGCTGATTTTGGAAACTTGGTGATATGGATTCATTTTGGTTGGTACTAAAGTATTACCACCTTTTTGTTGTTGTTGTTGTTGTTGCTTTTCCCCACGTTTCAACTATTACGTAAGTGTTTCAGACACATTTTGCTTGGGACCAAAAACTGTCCAGATTTGATAAGGTGCTTTTTGACCAAACAGTTATGGGGACTATCCCACTGGGGAGCTCCCCCAGGAACTATATACCTGAAGTAGGGCTGCACGATTAATTATTTTACGTGTGATTTAGATCCTTGTGCAATCTCAGTCTTGTGTGACAATGATTCTGCCATGTTTGCATGAGCAGGGAGATGCCATCCATCAAACTAAGCGCTCCCTTTTCCTCACTAAGCTGCGTTAACCAATAACTGCAAAATGATTTATTTCTCCCTCAACTCCTATTCAGTGCTAGGTGTAAGGGCAGGCACCGCAAAATTTGAAAAATGGTTGCAGGAGGGCACAGAATATCTTTCATAATGTCAAACATGTTGTGTGTTGTGCTTGGAGGGTACCTACCTTGGCAGTAGGAGCTTAAACAAAGTCCCTCAAAATGGCATTCTTTGAACTATTATTGTTCTCAGTTCCTCCAGTGTGAACACACAAAAAAGGGGGTACTTTGTCCAACAGCACTACGTACTATGAAAAAGTTCCTGCAGTCCCAAAATGCCTATAGTGTGTACGTTAACCTCTACCATTTCTGTACCCTAACTTCTGTTACTTGGCAATAAAAATGAACCCAGCGTAGTGAATGGGAAACCGACCTGGGCATAATATCAGCAAAGCCTGTTAAGCTGGTTTTGGTTATGTAAAAACTCTAGGCATCTATTTAGTGTGAGTTAGTGTTACTGTACAGGTGATAATCGGCAAAGCTGAAATGAGACTTAATGTGTCCCTTCTTGAGGAGTTTTTTTATTTTTATTTATTTATTTTTTTTTGTTCTTGCTGCTTCTGCTTACGAGCCAGACTTGTGGGACACATGTGAGATTGTTGTCACATGCACAACATGACCACTCTTTGCCATGAAGTCCTGTAACTCCTTCAGAGTTGTCATTGGCCTCTCGGTAGCCTCTCTGACCAGTTTCCTCCTCACTCTGCTGTCCAGTTTGGAGGGATGGCCTTACTCCGGCACAGTTGCAGTAGTAACAAACACCTTCCACTTCTTAATTATAGATTTAACTGTGCTCCTAGGATAGATAAATCTTTTGAAATCCTTTTGCACTCATGTCCTGACTTGTGCCTTTCCATAATTTTGTCCCTGAGATCTTTTTAAAGTTCTTTGCCACCCATAGTAGACTGTTTGTTTGCTTTTAGTTGCACTACCAAGCACTGGAATGCTCTAGGAATAACTAGTTTTATTTTGAACACATTGAAATCATTACAGCTGGTCACGGGTGATCCAGAACGTGATTAATTACACCTGGCCGAGTTTGATCTTCTTGTTATTATTTGCACTGCTGTCACTGTTTGCACATGGATTTGAGGTTCATCATATCCTATTAGGTTGTACCACTTATCCTTATTACTTTAATTCAGTTTTCATATTCTATTTATTCTGTGTTTATTCTACTTTTATTTTATCTTAGGTTTCTGTATGTCCTGCACATTTAGTGAATTGACAATAAAAACAAAAATCTTGATCTTAACAAGTGCTTCTTGTCTCCTGGCTACACATGAAATGCATGTGTACATACAGTGTATCCAACCTGTGGTAAAACCCAGCAAATACAAACTACACACACTTGAAAAAGAGCTGTGCACTCTGTAGGACTGATGTAACAGACATTCTTCTGTTTCTGTTACCTGTTGTACTCCATTTTAGTTGTAAGTTTGTAAAAAACCAAACTTTAATACAGTGTTTTATTTTTATTAAAATTAAATATTTAATTATAATCAATTAATTAATTAAAGTTACAAAAATTGTCTGTGCAAGCTGTCATTTACAGTTCTCGTAAAAAAAAAAGAAAAAGAAAATCAAAATTGTCAGAAGTCTTAAGAAAATTCAGAAATCGGAATTATGTGAACAGTGGCGCTCACAATGCATCCACACTGATGAAAGTATATCATGACCTTAAAACACACCTGTACACACCGTAGAGAAAGACATAACCTCATATAAGATCAACCTTTATTAGTCCCACAACAGGGAAATTTGCAAAGCTACAGCAGCAGAGGGATAGCAACAAGGGTAAAAAGTCAAGTCAAGGTATTCTAAATAAAAACAATGTAAATATACTAATAAGTAAAACTAATATTGACATGCTGAGCATTCAAGGCACTTCAGTCTGTAGTGTGTGGGTTCAACTGGGGGGGTCTACTGGAAGTAATGCTGGTTATAGAGCTCCGTCGCGCACTTGGGGTGAAGCAGTCTGTCACTGACGGAGCTGCTCAGTGCAGTCAGGATCTCATGCATGGGGTGGGAGTCATTCTCCTGCAGAGATGATAGCTTGGTTAACATCCTCCTGTCAGCCACCACCTGCACTGGGTCAAGGAGACTTCCCAGGACAGAGCTGACCCTCTTGACCAGTTTGTTTAGTCTATGTATGTCTGTGGCCATGATGCTACTGCCCCAGCAGAACACTTCATAATAGATGGTGTGTCTCAGGAGTGTCCCATGAACTCCAAAGGACCTTGGTCTCCTCTCTGGCCTTTCCCGTAGAGTGGAGCGTATCTGAACTGGATTCAGTTGTTAGAGCCTGTGGCATCTCTCTGGATTGTCTGCATGACTCACAGACCTGTGGTTACCATGACAACATGCATGTTAACTACTCAGCTGTACAGTAGTCTGGTGTTTCTGAAGCTCTGGTTCATAACCTGAAACATGTCACAGAGCAGTGTGTTGTGGGTTCCCAGCTGACATCTTATAGGTTCTGTGTGTCAGACCCTATAAGACGTCAGCTGATGTCACGTCACATTCAGGAATTCTCCTTTTCATTTATATCAGATCAGTACTTTGGTACGAGAGACTTCATATTATTGATTGCATTATTTTTTTAACTTTATGTTTTATTCCTTTAATAAAATACAGCAAATACTGGTAGATGGTGAGTTGATGATAATGACCCCTTTCTCTCTCTCTGTTTACCACAGACCAGCTGAAGTCAGTCATGGAGCAGGTCTTGGACTTTGCTCTACGTGAGCTTACAAAGATCGTCGAGGCTTCATTTGATGATCTCCTGCTGGAGATCATCAAGATGGAGAGAGAGCACCAGTTCCTGGAGGAGAGGCTGCGCAAGAGCTCCAACAGAGGGGGGAGAGGAGTGGGAGAACGGAGTGAGAAGGGCAGAGCAGCTGGCAGGCCGAGGAGAGGATCAGAGAACATCTTGGTGTCTCCCAGCGGCTCTGAGGATGCCCGGGAGGACCTCATTCAGGGCCCAGTGTCCAAAGAGAAGGCACGAAGAGATGGTGAGTAGAGAGCAGGGAGGTATCACACACCTGATGTGTGTCTGCTAAACCTTTCATTTTCAGATTCAAAAGCTGGATTTATTGTCACTGAAATACTGGTCACTGAGATTATTTAGAGGAAAGGCTAAATTGTAAGATAACATTAACAGTCTTAGTTATTTCTTTGCTGTGTGTTCTGCCTGCATTTTCCTAGTTTGTCTCACCTGTCTTGTTTTCATCTTTGTATTTTGTTGTCGGTGAAGAAAATGAGGTGGGGAATGAAATAACTTCTTCTTTAACTTCTAGTTCTGGATGGCACTTTGAGCGCATGGTGAAACCACATGATCAGCAGGCCCATAGTTTCTCGATCTAGAAATCTAAGTCCAGTTGATTTTTTTCTAAGGTTTTTTCAGTTTATTATGACCTGGATGACTGAGAATCTGCACAGACATGCCCAAAGGGAATCTGTGCCCACAGAAAACTGAAAACTATAAAAATAAATAAATAAATAAATAAAAAAGAAGAAGAATTTGCAGATTCCGTTTGGACCTCATGATTAGGGCATCTGAGAACTGGATGCTGTGTGTGCTGAATTAGTCACATACTTGAAACACGCTGATGACATCCAGTGTGTCTTATACTTCCCCAGACGACATCAGTCAGTCCTCTTCCTCCCACACTGTGTGGGATTGTTTTGCTCGTGTTTCACCAGCTTTTAAAGAATTACTCTCAAAATATCAAATTTTTTTTTTTTTTGGTTTTGTTTTTATTTATTTATTTTGAATCAACACGAATCACATAGTTTGTTAATCTTTTTCTCACCTCCCACCTCCTGCCTTGCTGCTTTTCTGTTACCATTTTTTGTACTTCTCCCTTCTTCCCCTTTGCTCCCCCCTTCACTCTCATCTCTTGTTTTTCCCTTCCTTGCCTTCTTTTACATTCTCCTCTATCTTATCACCTTCCTGCACCATATCCATCCTTACTTTACATCCCTTTTTCTTGTCTACTCTTCTTCCTCCTCTCCTTTCCCTTTGTTGCTTCCTTACCGCCTTACTTTTTGCTCATTTCTGTCCCTCCCATATTTTCATTTGTTATTACCTTCTTCCTCACCTTGTTCTTCTTTCCCTGTCCTCTGTCCTTCCTCACCTTCCTGCCATCCATTATGCCAGACCCGGAGCATCCCCCTGTCCTCTCGGTCTCTCAAGATTGGGTTCCAATCCTGGACAAAGTCTTTGGTCAGAAGTGGTGCAGTGACATCTGGGAGATCAAAGAACTCCCTGGGAGAGGAGGAGGAGAGGGAGGTGGGGGTGCTGGGCAGGGTCTGGGTGAGCGAGGGGTGGAGCAGGTTGAGCCCCTGTCAGCCCCTTCTGTGACCTTGGAGACTTCCCCCTCCTCCCTACCCCCGTTGGACTCCTCTGGAAGACATGGAAGTGTTTTCTCCTGATGATGAAGGCCCTGCAGAGAGTCTGGGGAATGCCAGGGGAGGAACCAACACCTCCGCTGGACCCTCACCTGGGGCCCCACTTAGCCCCACAGGTAAGGGAGGAAATAACAAGTACAGATTATAATCCAAAGCCGCATACTGTACCACAGCATTTATAGCCAAGGGTGCACACAACTAATGTGGCCACATGGTTAAAATCAAGAATGAATGGAAGATTCTATGTTAAAGAAGCAAGATAGTTTTTAGAAACAGATAAAAGTTAGTATTGACTGATGTGTTGCTGTTGCCAACTACATTGTTTTCCTAAATTAGCAGAGCCAGTACAAAGTTACATTGCAACTACATTGTGTTTCTCTGTTTTTAGGATTCCTATCAGTTCATCAAAATGTCCAAGAAGCAAGACACATTAAATAATTACTTTGGTGTTCGCCCACCTGCAAAGAAATGCCTGCCCTGAATATAAGAGTATTTGCTGAGAAGTGGCTGCAGGGAGTACAATGGCTCCAAACAAACGACCACTAAAGACCAGGGAGGTAAACTCGACTTTGCTAGATGCTATGCTGTGTCCTGTGCACTGTCACAGAGCACATCCCAAAATTTGGCTGCCTTAAGTTTTTAAGTCATGTGCATAGTACTTGACTTGGAAGTTTCACTTTAGCCCCCTTTCCACCGCCTGGTATCAGCTCAACTCGACTTGACTCTTCTCACCTTATTTGTTTTGCTATGAGTCAAATGTTGGGGATAGTCCCAGGTACCTGGTACTATTATTAGTAGCACCTCCACTGAGGTTCCCAGCAATCTGCGGTGATGCCAAATGGTGACATGTAAACAATGCAGACTACCGATTAGTCAGAGAAATTTGTCATTGTTAGGTGGTGATCAGATGAACATGGATGTTTACCCATAGCCCATAGGTTACTGAATGTGATAATATGCAAAACATGCACATTTATAAATGGGGGGCAATGCACAGGCAGCCAATTCAGAACTGAATGAAAAACTGAAAGCAGCCGGATTTTGCGGCATGCTCCTTGATGGATCAGAGGACACGGCAAAAATGGGGTAGGAAATTATGTACACCCTGTCTAGCAAGGGGGAGTTTACTGTAAACTCTTTTAATGGGTGTGAATTGAATGACTGAAGACGTGGTGGATGAACCTTGCGCAACCTTTCCATGCTTGTGTCATAAGGGATGAGCGGAAAAAAAAGTTGGTGTCGGCTTACACAGAGGAATTGTAATTCCTCTGAGTCTATCTAAAAAATGATTTAAAGCATTTATGATAATTTATTAACCTGGTCAAGTCAAGTTTTGGACTTTGAAAGATAAAAATAAAAATCCTCTTAAAAGGAAGTCACTTATTGCACACACTTTTCAGTTGCCACTTTACAGTAGACACTTCTGTAGTCTTATTTTTAGGTTAATCAACACGGGGCCTGTTGTTTTCTTGTTCCAGTTCTGACTTTTCTCTTCCCTTTATCTCTCCCTCTGTCCAGGGTCTTCAGGTCATCACTCCTCGGCCTCCATGCTTCACCGTCTCTTGACTCTGCCATCTCAGCTGCTGGAGGAGGACAATGAGGACGCTGCCATCAAAGAAACGCTAGCCACTCTGGCGACCAACGGCGCGAGCGACCGCCAGGAGGACATTGGACTGCCTGGTCAGACCTGTCCGTCGCCTGTTACAGCCAGGGAAATGGAGGAAGAGGGCGATGAGGACGAGGAGGAGGAGGAGGAGGACAAAGGGAGGAAGGTAAGGGAGGACTCTCAAACAAAGGTTTTAGCTGTATCACTCTGAATTTAATGAGTTGAGCTAGTGACTATATTTTGATTAAACAGGTAAAGGATGTCTAAAAATCATACAGGTGTAGTCATTTCAGGAAAGCATTTAATGATTCTTTACATTTGAGAGAATTATTGGTATTTTTGACTGACAGATGGTTAATGCATTATCAAAATTTTTGGCGATTACATTTTTGTCAGTCAACTTGCTGTTTTGATCCTGCAATGGAATAACATACATTTTATTATCAGAAAACTTGGAATTGGAAAAATGTTAGCAGTTCAATCTTAAGGGACATCAAGTTCTTTAAAAATTATAATTAAAATTATTGGAAGGTTTTGGTAAGTGTTTACATCATTCTGTTTAGTGTAGCCCCTGAAAGTAATCTCTGTCACAGAGATAACAAGAGTTAGCCACAGCTGATATGACCCCGCAGGTTGCTGTTTTAACCAGAAACAGCAATGATCGACAGAAGCTGCTATGATTTCTACACTGAGCTTTGCTACCAAGACTGTGGTTGTCACTGATGCTGCTGTGCAGCCGGCGGGGGTGGAAATTAAACGATTCTGGTGAGCCACCATCGTGATGCCTGTCAGCCATCGGTGATGGATGATTGCATTGTCCCATCACCCATCCCTAACGGAGACCACACGATATATATCACCGGACAAAACGATACATATCGTGACGTTTTTGTGTCGCGATATATTGCATTTTGATATATTGTCCCATCCCTAGCCCATTCTTGCCTCTCTATTTGTCTACAGAAAAAGAGGCGAAGGGTTTGGTCAGAGTGTGAGGAGTGTGGGCGGAGGTTCAGTCGGATGTCACTTCTGAAGGCTCACCGTCAGACTCACATCAGTGAAAACCCTACTGACATGCCATCCTCCTCGTCTCTGCCAGTCAGCACCACCTTGGCGCTATGTTGCTTAGAGTGTGACAAGAGGTTCTCCTCAGCCACCCGCCTTCACAGCCACATCCGGACCCAACATCCCAGGAACTGGCCCTGAACAGGGCCGAAACTCAGCAGGTCACCTGGGCTGCATTCATACCAGACACAGGGTCATCATAGGATACAAACAGATTGCAAGAAAAGCTGAACAAAACCAGAACAGGTTCAAAAACCTTAGAGCAAAACCTGAGGAGGATTCACAGACCTGATACCAGACAAGAACCAGAGCCTGAAAAATAGTGAAACAGTTTTTTAAAAATGCAAATAAAATCCTCAGACTCTTCTGAAAGAGCTGAAAATCTGAATGAAGCAAACAAATGGTACACGGTACAATAAATAGGGATAGGCCAATTTTAGATTCTTAAATAAATATAAAACAGTACTGATTAAACCAAACAGAACAGGAAGCTCATTTTTAATTACAGCTTCTTGTATAATAACACAGTGATGCACACACAAAATATCCATTTTCTATTAGTAATATTTTTATTAATATACTTTATTATTACTACTAATGCTACGACACAGGGGTGCATGGCATTCATTGAGAAAAGAGGCACCTGAGGCAGGCTCTCATAATTACTGTATGACTTCTATATCTTCAGTGCTTGAAGAGGTGTCTTTACAGGTTGTGGTACCCCTAATTGGCCAAATAACAAATATAGGTTTAACTAAAATTTACACATTGTAAAAATACTACTAATAATTATAATCATGTTTATTTATACATTATTGACAGCAGGTAAAGTCAAAAGGCCCACGTCACAGGGTCTTTAAGATGTGTGCGATATCATATTAGATGTTTCTTCAGTGCATGAATTTTGCCTCAGGGCATGAATATTGCCTCTGTTCAAAGTAAACATTCGTTACTTCTGGTGCAGCTCAGTTTGGATGCGCCAACGCCCTCTGGCTCCCACACCATACAGTAGCTGGCAGAAAGCTCCTACACTGTCCATCTTGACTGCAGCTTTTTGTCACTGCCCCCACTCCTGTCGTCTGCTCTTGTCCACTGTGCAGTACCAGCAGTTTGTAAGTGCAGGTACGCAAGAAAAAGTGATGATATGCAAAAGAGTACAATGGAGAGGTGCTGGTATTGCGTACTGGTGCATACTGGTATGCATGGCACAAGAAATTGTTTACAGATGGGTTGTTTCACTTATAATTCACTATATGACAATTCCAGTGGGTCAGAGGTTTACATACACTCAGTTGACTGCCTTTAAACAGCTTGGAAAATTCCAGAAAATGATGTCATGGCTTTAGAAGCTTCTGATTGGCTAATTGACATCATTTGAGTCAATAGGAGGTGCAGCTGTGGATGTAGTTTAAGGCTTACTTTCAAAATTAGTCCCTTTTTGTTTGACATCATGGAAAAATCAAAAATCAGCCAGGACCTCCACAAGTCTGGTTCATCCTTGCGAGCAATTTCCAAACACCTGAAGGTACCACATTCATCTGTACAAACAATACCATGCAAGTATAAACACCATGGGACAACGCAGCCATCATATCACTCAGGAACATACTTTGGTCTGAACAGTACAAATCAATCTCAGGACAACAGCAGGGAAGAACCCACTGCTCCAAGACCACCACAAAAAGGCAAATTATAGTTTGCAGCTGCACATGAGGACAAACATCTGTCTTTTTGGAGAAATGCCCTCTCATCTGATGAAACAAAAATGTAGCTGTTTGGCCATAATGACCATTGTTATGTCTGGATGAAAAATGGGGAGACTTATAACCTGAAGACCACCATCCCAACCATAAAGTATGGGGGTGGCAGCATCATGTTGTGGGGGTGCTTTGTTGCAGGAGAGACTGGGGCAATTCACAAAATATATGGCATCAAGAGGAAGGAAGATTATGTGGATATATTGAAGCAGCATCTCAAGACATCAGTCATGAAGTTAAAGCTTGGTCACAAAAGGTCTTCGAAATGGACAATGATCCCAAGCAGACTTACAAAGTTGTGGCAAAATGGCTTAAGGACAACAAAGTCAAGGTGTTGGAGTGGCCATCATAAAGCCCTGTCCTCAATCCAATAGGAAATTTGTGGGCAGAACTGTTGAGGCCATAGTTAAAGGTGGTGTTGTACTGGGACTACAATATATGTTATATTACATATTATTAATGTTAATAATATTACTAATATATTATGTTTTGTTATGTTATATTTATTATATTCTGACCCTCTCATGTATATAACTAGGAGGACAAAAATAGATACTTCTAGATATAATGTAGTCCAGTACAACACCACCTTTAACTATGACCTCAATAATAAATGTATAATTTGATTTATATATGACATTTTCACCAAAAACTGAAACATTTTGAGCTTCCTAAAAACACAGATGTTAAGGTGGAAGTACTGCATACAATTGTACAGGTGTACCTAATAAAGTGGTCAGTGAGTGTACATTCAAGTTTAAGGCAGTCTGAGACAAAAATTCAAGTCTAGTGGAAAAACACCTCCAGATCTGGACCACAGTACCAGACTTTGAGAAGTCCTGGTTTATAAGATTAAATGTCAGGAGTTGTGTAAAACTGAGTTTAAATGTATTTGGCTAAGGTGTGTGTGTGTGTGTGTGTGTGTGTGTGTGTGTGTGTGTGTGTGTGTGTGTGTTAACCTCTGACTTCACCTGTATATTGTACAAGTTTAGAAGATTTCATAATTATAGGATGTGTACACCACAATTAGGCTAATCATAATTATGGGAAACTGACAATATTAATATGACGCATCATAATTGGGAGAACATGACTCAGGTTAGTTTTGTTTTTTGATAAATACAGTGTGCTTGACTGTATTATTTTAAATTGTATTTTTATGATTTGATATTGGTCATATACAATAAAACTTTCTTCCTTTTTTTTTTTTACTTGGTCACTCAGACATACAGTATGAACAACATAGTAAATGAGCTGGCCTAGCTCATAAATATGGACATTTTATGCACTTGTTTATTTCAAACTCATGGTTTAATAATAATAATGTGATAAGTTTTATTGGTTAAGCAAGTGTTATGCACTGAAGCACCTCAAAGCGGTTTATAAAACAAGATAAAGGGTGCAATACCAAATATTTGAATCAATACTGCAAAAGCAATAATTTTTAAATAAATATGAAAAAATAGAAAGTGCTGAGAGTAAGAACTTTTAAATGCAGAGAAAGTGAGATTATCTCATGTAAAAGACAGACTAAATATTTAGGTCTTAAATTAACCATCAATCAAAAATTGGTCTATCCCTTAATTATCAAAACTAATGGGAGTGTGTGGAGGGAAGTCACAGGGTTGACTATCATAGCTGGTTCTGTTTTGGATCTGGGTCCTGGTTGGTCTTTTAAATTTAGAAACCTGGAAAATCTCTTGCTGAATCTCACCTTTTCTTTTTAGTATCAAAACATTCTAAGGTTTTTGCTTCATATTATGTGGGGTATTACATGAACATGATTATTTAAACGAGACATTTACACTGACAGTCCTGATGAGTTTTTTTTTTTTTTACTAGAAAATAGTAATTATTTCTCCCCCAAATTTTTAATTATTATTGTTCTGAAGAAATAGTTCAGATTTAAAACCAAGTTATTGGGGCTTTAATAAAATTGTAACTTTTAGTTGTTTACTCACATTGAAAGCTGAAGCTCAATGGATTCAACAAGGGTTTTGCCAGGATCTGAATTTATTAAAACCCTGGACCGGAATGGAAGAGTAGATCTGGAAAGGAAACTAAGGACAGAAAAACACTGACTTCAGGTGAAATAAAACAAGAATCTGACCAGGAACAAGAAGGGAATCAAACTGAACCCAGAAACAAGTGGCACCTGGCAGAGGCTTCAGATCAGAGGTGATTAAAGAAAGAAGAAGGAAAAAAACATGTTAAAAATGCTCAAGGATATCTCCTCCTGCTGTAAATCCTCCTGTAAAATATCCACAAACCTCCTCATGGACAGGTGGAGAGCTCCAGCCAGTGCAAGTGAGTTTCGGTCCTGCCGGGTGAATTTTTTTGTTGCAATAAGTTTGCTACCAGCAATCAATGTGGCTGGAGCGTTGTTTCCTGTCCCCTCTCCTCATTCTTCACTGGTGTTAATGACTGGGGTGGGGTGGGGGGGCTTACATGTTGGATATGTACAGTGTGGACCCTCATTCCCACAGGAAAAAGTGACCTTTGATTTGATTTGATTTGATTTATTCTTTCAAGCATGTAAAGACAGTTGATATGTCAACACACATAATTTTACACATATCCACAAATGCTAATCCATTATCAATTTGCTTATACCTAGAACATGCTTGAATGGAGTAGGAAGAAGTCAGACTTATCCAGTCCTACCCCATGACATCATCTTACCATCATTGGTTTGCAAGCAGTATCTCTACATAAATAATTGTCTTCTACACCACACAAGTAATATACTAAAAAATTATAAGAGTGTTAACATTCTTACATGATTACATTCTTAAATAATTATCTTCTACACCACACAAGTAATATACTAAAAAATTATTACAAAGTGTTAACATTCATACACCAAACCCACAATGTTCCATCTATTTAATCATTAAACCTGTTCTTGCATATATCTTGATTGACACATACCTTTATATTTATGTTTAAACTCGTCAATTCTATTACTATTTTTTATGTCCACACTTAAATTGTTCCATAGTTTTACCCCACTTATGGAAATACAAAATCTTTTTTTGGTTGTACGTATAGCATGAATTTTTAAATTTAACTGACCCCTTAAATTGTATCCCCCTTCCCTTTCATTAAATAGTTTTTGAATTCCACCAGGTAATAAATTGTTCCTGGCTTTATACATAAACACAGCAGTCTTATATCCCACTAAATCAAAAAATTTAAACAATTTAGACTGTATGAAAGCTACATTGGTGTGATCCCTATACCCCATCTTATGCACAATTCTTATCGCTCTTTTTTGTAATATATACAATGGTTGAAGTGAGCTTTTGTATGTATTTCCACAGTTTTCAACGCCATACTCTAAGTATGGTAAAATCAATGAAGAATACAAAATACGTAGTGCTTTCCCGTCCAAGATATATCTAACCCTTGCCAATATCGATATATTCTTTGCTATTTTGTGCTGAACATATCTGATATGAGATTTCCAGGAGAATTTGTCATCAACCATGACACCTAGAAATTT